TGTATTTTGAAAACGCAAAAGCAAGTTAGAACACATGTTTATATGAACTTTATTTCCTAAAATATCATAAGAAATCACCCCTTGAATTTTTTTGGTATTATTTAGATACACCCTGTATATCAATTTTGTTTGTAATAATAATAATAATAATCGTTCTTTATTGAATTGAATACATATGATATAACATATAAGTACAATCATTACTATTCAATTCTACCGGCTATCGACCTAGGTCCTTCAGCCTTTAAGTTTATACTAATAAATTATAATCATTCCTGCTTGACTTTTTAAAAAATTACTGTTGATTGTGAAAAAAAAAAAAAAAAAAGTCATTTTTGTTATGTTAAAATTGTTGATCCAATCGGAGAAGTATTTCAATGAGCGGTTCTTCTGGATGCTTGTGTATGGCCTGTACTTCTGGATTTCTTCTTATACAGAATTCTTGTAGTATCTCCATGTTGGTGTGTTTTCGACAGAATCTCTGGGCTAGTTCGTGTAGGCGTGTCTCAATAGGTTTTATGCCAGTCATTTCGTAGAGCAGTGGGTTAGGTGGATTGTGTAGTGGGTTGTTGGGGTGGCGAATTTTTGTTATTTTTCTGATTGCAGATGTTTCGGCTACTTGCAGATTTTTCCTGATGCCTGCTTTGCAGTTTAAGAATATCAGATGGGCGTAATCTATCATTGGACGACATATCATTTTATAAATACTGCTTGCTGTTGTCAGATTTATCCCTTTCTTCTGGTATGTCAATCCCCTAAAGTGGGTTGCTCTTGAGATCATATTTTTCTTTTTTTGGTTTATATGCTGTTTAAAACTTATCTTATTGTCGAAGGTAACTCCCAAATATTTAACTTGCAATTCTGGATGAAGATTGTGCTGATGAATAGTGATGGTAGGCGATGAAGGTGAAGGGTGATGGTTGAAAATGATGAAATGGGATTTGGTTGGATTGGGTTTTAGTCTCCATTTGTTGAACCATACTGTGGTTGAGTTCATCAGGCTTTGTAGGTTTTCTACCGTTTTGACAAGGGATTTTCCATGTGAAACTAAAGCTGTGTCGTCTGCATATTGGAGTATGTAAGTTGGCATGGGGAATAACTGTGGGATGTTATTGGCGTGAGTATAGATGTCGGCGCAGTATGCATTGTACAATAGAGGAGATAATGGAGAACCCTGTGGTAGTCCTTGTTTTGGGGTGAATTCATTGGAGAGACTTGATAAAATCTTCACTTTCAATTTCCGGTTTGTTAAAAAGCTCTTGATCAGGAAAATTAAATATTTGGAACATCCTAATTGGTTCAGTTTGTATAAAAGCCCCTTGTGCCATACACTGTCGAAGGCTTTGTTTATATCCAAAAATACTGCTGCTGTTTTACGTCTATTAAGCTTGCTGGCCTCGATATTGTTTGTGAGTATACTGAGAGGGAGTAGGGTAGAGCATTCATTTCTGAATCCGAATTGATATCTTGGAATGTTGACGTCTATTTGTTGGTGTATTCGATTTCTCAGTATTTTCTCCAAGTTTTTTCCCAGTACTGGAAGTAGAGTAATTGGTCGATAACTTACAGTTTTAGAGTGATCCATATTTGGCTTTGGGATAGTGATGATAGTGCCTATTTTCCATTCACTTGGGATATGGTGTGTTTTCATACAGTAGTCAAAGATCTTGATGATGTATAAATGTATTGAGTGGTCTAGTTTTCTGAGCATGTTTTTTGTTACATGGTCGTGTCCTGGCGAAGTATTTTTGCCTTGACTCAATATCTCAAAGTATTCTTCTTCGTTGATGTTTTCATATTCATCATCAGGAGCATTTGAAAAGTATGTGTTGTACCATTCACTTATGAGTTCATATTGATCATTATCAAATTCGACGTCTGTGCTTTCTTCATAAGCCTTCTCAAAGTGTGCAGCAAATATTTGTGCTTTTTCTGATGTGCTTTCATATTTTATACCATTTTCTTCGATACTAATATTGTTTGTTGTTTTACTTTTGTATTTAGATAATTTTCGTATTTCTTGCCAATATGTTTTCCCTTTTTTGATATTGATTTCTTCACATGTTTTTAACCATTTATGAGTTTTGTATTCCTGTATCAATTTTTGTATATTTTTGTTTAATTGGTTGATAGCAATTTTGGCAATCGGGTCTTGATGAGTTCTGTATTCTCTATATATTCTCCTCTTTTTCCTTATCAGGCTTACGATGAAAGGTGGAAGTTCATGTGAGTAAAAGTTATATTTATATTTGGGTGTTTGTTCCAGTATTATTGTACTAAGCTTTTGGTTGAAGAGGGTGATTTGTTCATCATCTATTTCATTGGATTCCAAAGATTGAACATACTCCATCATGTTTTGGTTCACATTGTCCATGTTGGTCTGTTTGAAATTGTATCTCATTATGTCTTCTTCTGCAAGCTGTGTTTCTATATCTATTGTAATTTTGATGGCCAGATGGTCTGAACCTAGGTCTGCAATTTCCTCAACGTTTATTATGTTTGTTGCAATTTTGTTTGTATTTTTCCTATTGTCTCTAATTATATATCACATTATTTAAGTGTGTGATCAGTGATATTATACATTCCCATTGTTCCTGATTTAATTACATTGAGTTCAGTCTCCATGCATATCAAATCTATTAAACTTTTGCTGTTTCTGTTTACACTTGTTGCATGTTGAATATTCAATATATCTATCTATAACAAACTTTTTATCCCTTTCATTCCATAGTAAATCAACATCTAAAGTTGTTACCACAAATAATGAAAGATGTGTCTATCACTTGTGCCTTGTTTTCCTGTCATTAGGATGTAAAGAGTAATGGTTTTCAGGGTTGGAAATTATGATAATTTCATCAAAATTAGGAAATTCCAGATGGCAATCTGAATTTCTTCAAAATTTGTATCTGGGGGTTTTTGGAGCCAGAGAATACTTTTATGCCTGTCTTTTGGGTCACATTTAGAACACTGTGCCCTTCTTTTTTCATCATTGGATAATTTATATATCAGGATGTACTTCAATGACACATTTTTTGATATGTGAAAGTCAACTAGAAATATGTTTTTTTTTGGATTTATCTATATTTAGCGAAAAGAAGGAGTAATACCATTAGGAAGAATGGCATGTGTAACGTTATTCAAAAGCAATATGTTGACATCTGGGATTGATTATTGATTGAATGATCATCATCTGGTATGATTGTTCAGTAAATATGAAAAACCCACCATAAAAATTATATTTCCTGATGAATTTTCTACATGAAAATGTGTCATTGAGTACATGATGAGTATTGTAAAGTGTCCAATGACAAAACAAGAAGAGCAAGTAGGTGTAAATGTATCCAAGAGGGGGATCTTTTTCTTGAAATATCTGATTAAATAGTGGTTTGTTCACAATTTCATTATCAAATTCGTGTTTTTCAGACAAAAATATGTAGATAACAAAAAATGTTAAAAAAACACATCCCATGATAAGTGCAAAATTACCAGTACCTTTGTGTTTTGCATTTGAAAATATCCTTAATTTTCTTCATTCAGTTCATATAGCAACACAATGTTTGCCTGGTCAGCTAGTGATGCATAAATAATGCATGATATACTGAACATTCACATTTTCACAAGCCATTTTATCAATGGAGTAATTGCAGTAGCAATACCAATGGGCTTATACCACAAAAAAAATTTATTCCATAATTCGATAGAACTCACCCAAACTATCTCACCACCACAAACCGTTTCTTGATGTGAGCTCAATACGTTTTATAAAAAATTATTGAAATCCCGGATTTTTCAGACCTCTGAAAACAAGGCGATGATGTGACGTCAAAACCCTAATACTGAAACAAGACTATGCCAGACAGAAATGAATGATACATGATTTCTAACAGAGTGAATCACAGTTGAAAGAATTAATATATCAGTTGCCTCAGTCTCCATCGGGCGTTTGGTATTTTCTTTTAACTATGGCGTGATAAGGTTTCTACATCATCAGAGGGTCCGTTTTCAGAAGGTACTATTATTTATGTCCAAAAATAAAACATCCCAGTTAATTTTTCCATTGAATTATGTCGTCAATCATTATTTATGTATAAAAGGATCATTATAAACATGGTTTGAGTTAAAAGTTCTACTAAGGTGTACACGCCCATTGCAGCAATAAAAATAGGTCCAGACTCATTTCCCTATAATTAGGAAGACCAGATTTTGAAAACAAACAAAAGAGTACATTTAGCATTCAGTATTTCATAATTGCCTATTTTCACCAATATCATGAGCACAAAATGAGTCTCATCATTCAAGGTCAAATGCCTTCCAATTGGAAATTAGATTTCCTCCTGATACAAAACAACTGCCTATTTTCACCAATATCTTGACTTGAACATTTAAAAAAAACAGGATATTGAGAAAATCACCATTATTTTCAAATAGACTTAAGATTCAAGCTAGAAAAACAAATAAAAAAGAAAGATTAGCTGAAAAGTGACACACAGGGTATATAACCTAGAGCCATAGACATCAAGCAGAAAGCACAGAAACTTAAGTTGAAGGAACAGTGGTTTACTAGTGATGAATCAAATTTCTCTCTTTCCTGATTTTTTTTTCAGGTTTTTTATATTCCTAATTAATCTTGTCTTTGACTTTGAACAGTCTAAATGAGTCTGACTTCAAAAAAGAGGACATTTACCTCCCAAATGAGAAAAGATAGAGGATGAGGACAGCAGCCTCAAAAAAAAGCACTCATACTATAAAAAGAGAACTTCTGGTCATCCTACCTGCATTGCAACAAAAAATTGCAATGGCTGTCCAAAATGACACAATTGAGTAGAAGCACAATGAAAATTGATAACTGTGAAGCAGTCCTTATAATTTAAATGTTGTTATTTTTTTCTATGAATAAAATATTAAAAAAATCTGTTGAAGTAATGCTCTGAGAGGAAAGTTATCACTGCCTCTAGCACCCCCCTTCCTGCCAACAGGTAGAAACGCCCTTATGAACTAACCTGCTTGATTCGAACCTGCACAGCATTAGGTAGTTTGTTGGTGCCATGTGAAAACACCTGGAAGTCCAATTTACCATCTACAGCCAAAGGGAATCTCTGTTGGGTTATTTGATAGCCTGCCTGCAATCAGAGTGAGAATTAAATTACCATTGCTAACGAAACATGGTTTGTGAAAGCTATAGGTATCAATCAAAGAACACTATGGATTTCATTTACCATATTTATGAAAATAACTCACAGGTAAATCAGCATAGAAATAATGTTTCCTGTCAAAACAAGATACAGGATTGATTCTGCAGTTCAGAGCTAAAGCAGTAAGAACACCACTTTCTACACATTTCTTGTTCAAGACTGGTAATGTTCCTGGTATAGAGCAATCGAACAATGAGACATTGTCATTCACTGGGGATGAGAAAGAAGTGTCAGCACCAGAGAACAATTTACTTTTCGAATTGATCTGAGCGTGTACTTCCAAACCTATCACGCTTTGCCAACTGAAATTAAATAAATTGATAATTCATACTCCAATGCACTTTCATGAAAATGTTTCATTACCTATGGCTTGGAAGAGCTGAAAGTTTACGAGTAATATGATTATACATCAGAGATAACATTGCACTTTGACTACTTCATCTAATGCTGGATCGTTTGATCAAGGATCATTTTTAATGTCTTCGTTCACAACTCAAAAGTTCAATATTATTGAAATGAAAAATTGAAAATTTTTGATATTTATTTCTTCTTCTTCTTGTTGTTTCGTTGTTTCTTTCACCAATGTGAGTTGGCTGCCAAAGTTAGCTGCCAAAATTTCCGAACTTACCCGACAGACCATACCAGTGGCGGGCGGCCATTCTTTCATGAATCAATTACTTTCTACTTATCTTTAATAGAAATTGCACTAATATACCACAATAACAATACATACTTTTCTTTCATATTTCGCATCAGACTTCCATAACGATATATGGTAGGGTACTAGGGTACATTACTTCAAAAGCCTAGAAACTGTGGTAGTGAATAAATAATGTCTTCCAGATGGGTCCAGCGACTTGTACAGGGTGAATCAGCTATTTTCGAAATAATTTTTTTTCTTATATTCCGCATCAGACTTCCGTGATGAAATATGGTAGGTTACGTTACTTTTGAAGCCTAGAATAGTATGGTAGCGAAATATTTCCTTCCAGTTGACAGTTGGGTCCAGCGACTTGTACAAGGTGAATAATCAGCTATTTTCGGAATAATTCTTTCCCATATTTCGCATCTGACTGCCGTAATGAAATATGGTTGTTTACGTTACTTTCGAAGCTCAGAACCGTATGGCAGCGAAATAACTACTTCCCAATGGGTCCGGCGACTTGTACAGGGTGAATAAGCTATTTTCGATTTTTTTCCCATATTTCCCATCAGACTGCCGTAATGAAATATGGTAGGATACGTTACTTCTGAAGCTTAGAACCGTATGGTAGCGAAATAATTTCTTCCAGATGGGTCCAGCGGCTTGTACAGGTTGAATATAAGCTATTTTCGAAATATTTTTTTCCTATATGTCGATTCTAGGCTTCAAAAGTTACTTAACCTACCATATTTCATCATGGAAGTCTGATGTGAAATATGGTAAAAAAAAATGATTTCGAAAATAGCTTATTCACCCTGTACAAGTCACTGGACCCATTTGGAAGGAATTATTCCGCTACCACACGGTTCTGAGCTTCAAAGGAAACATAACCTACCATATTTCATCACGGAAGTCTGATGTGAAATATGAAAAAAAAAATATTTCGCTACCATACGATTCTAGGCTTCAGAAGTAACGTACCCTACCATAATTTATCACGGAAGTCTGATGCGAAATATGGAAAAAAAATATTTCGAAAATAGCTTATTCACCCTGTACAAGTCGCTAGACCTAACTGGAAGAAAATATTTTGCTATCAAACGATTCTAGGCTTTAAAAGTAATGTACCCTACCATATATCATTATGAAAGTCTGATGCGAAATATGAAAAAAAAATATATATTGTATATTAGTGCAATTTCTACCAAAGTAGAAGTAGAAAGTAATAATTGATTTATGAAAGAATGGCCGCCCGCCACTGGTATGGTCTGTTGGGTAGGTTTTGGGGTAGGTTCGGAAATTTACGCAGCCAGCTTTGACAGCCAAAATCACATTGGTGTTTCTTTCACATCTGCCTCTTTCTGCACTGCAACTGAACAGTCAACAGTCAACACTGAACTGAGGCCAGTGTTGCCATAGACATGTGTTTTTTCCATGTATCTATTAATTATAGGCGACTGAGATTAAGATCGTAGCGCCAGAACGGTGAATGTCGGTACTACTATATGGGCCATTGGCGGATTGTTTACATTGTTTGGTAATGGTGTTTATGTTCATTTAGTTTTGAGTTTTCAAACGTCCAGCTTTGTTATTTGTATATTTTCGAACTTTGTATTTTCCAGCGGTCTACTGTGTTTTGATTGAGGACTTTATTATCTCTGTTCAACATTAGATAACCTCCCTACCTCTAGTTGAACTTCATATATACCAACATGCATAGGCTGTAAGTTTTTATCATTATTGAACAAGAATACTCATGAAAACCTGTGTGGAATGTTGATTTCCAATTCGAATATATAGCTGGGATATTCCCCTGATAGTGCATGATATTTTTAAAAACTTTTTGGGAATAAAGTGTTCTTTGGAAGGTGAATTTAGGTAAACAGTTTCTACTTGACTTTTTACAACATAATCATCGAAACCCTGATTGATAACATTCTTTAATTACTGTTTAAAAATTCTACTGTTCATGAGTAAAGATATAATCAGTTTGAAATTTGTTTGTTCTTTTACCACCACCTCAAGAAGTAGTAGGTATTATATTCATTAATAGACAATAGACAAACATTTGAAAATATACCTATAGGTATGAGTAAATTTTCAGTGAAGTGTAAAGAACAATATCTCATTATGTTGAGAACTTTACACTTTTTCCAATCTTCAAGTTATGAATCCACAACCTTTCTCCTACCGATCACTTCCTTGTTTCCCAAATTATTAGTTTCAAATACAAATTTAGACTGTTCTGATTTTTGAAAGGAATGAAAGCTATACTCGGGATTTTTTTGCTCAAGATGAACAATGAGGTACACAACAATGATGACTCATGTTTTTAAACGTTCATAGAAGTTCTCAAACAAAATTATAGACAATTAAAACACAACTACTTCTCATACAAAATACACGCAAACTAATGTAAACAAAGCAATCAATGGCCCATACGTTAGTTATATTAGACAACGGTAGAGGGAGTACTCCTTAGCATGAATCGCCTGCCACAACCGTCGCTAAGTGAAGCCAAAACCAAAATCCTTTAATCCTTAAGCGGAAGATTTATCGAATTAGAGAGTGTGTTTGGGTGATTCAAGAATTTTGAGCATGCGCATTACATCGATTTTGCTTATGCGTAGTCATTTGTTAAAAAAAAATGGCTTCAAATTTTTGTGTATTAATGAGTGCTCGTGATCCATATAGTCTTTTAATACATATATGGTTTTTTTCTGTTTTTTCGAGTGAGCTGTGCTATGTTGTCAAAAACGAGCGGGATATCAACTCAAAGAGCGGGATATCAACTCAAATCGTATTTTTCCGCTATTCATCAATTCGCTCATGCCATCACATTATGCTGTTGTGAAATGCACAAAAACTGCAGCGGAAGACGAAGTAATCCGGTTGGTACAATATGATTCAAAAGTAAGTACCTACTATAGTCACTCACATATAGTTTTCATTTTTGAAATTTGGTAATTTCTCTGATTTCTCATCGGAATTCCTTCTGCGATACTTGCGATAGGAGCTAATAGAAATACACCTGAAATTTCTAAAATAATGCAAGAAGATTGGATTCATGCAATCAATCGGGAGGACTGGTCTGACATGCTGACGATCGTGTGTGTTGTAGACATTTTCAATCAATTAGCAGTATTAGCTTGTATTGCAGAAGTGGCAGAAGGCAGAAGGAATTTTGATAAGGAATGACAACACATTTCATAATGATAACTATAACTATGTGAGATTACTATTTACCTGAAAAATCATATTCTTTATAGTCTCTTGCTGCATTTTTTGTGCATTGTACAACAGCACAATGCGAAGGCATGCTCGAATTAATGAATAGCGCAAAAACACGATTCGTATGCCAAAATATTGTGAAAAACTAGTTCAATCCTTTGATTCATCTGTAACCAAGTAAAAAAGTGAGGTTGTGTTTCAATAATTCACAGAAGAATGAGGTTGTGTTTCAATATTTTGCCTCCAGGGTCGGTCATCGTGCACGCGACCTATTTTTGTCCGAAGTACGGTGTACGGTCCTAACCTTGGACCGTACCCGAAATTTACGGTCCGTCAGGTCTTCCTTTCCTACGAATAATTGTGTCAGTTCGAAATTGTATTGATCTATGCTCATGTGCTCACAGCAACATAGCACACCAGTGAACACTGAACAGTGAATCCGAAACAACCACAGAACTTAAACACCAACCACGACAACTTGACCACTGCCACAGAAATCTCTATTCTGTGCCGATGCCGTAATGATCTGACGTCTGTAGGTCCATTAGATGAGTTTTTGAATCTGTGTTTGAAGTTTGAATTATATATGGTAGCGGGAAACGGGCATGGATGATCCTAATTTTGTTATAATAAATATTATGAAGAAATGTGCCTCATTGATAAGTTATAATAAATGTTATGGAGAGATGTGTGCTTCATTGATATGTTATTCATTCCACTATAGTTCCAGAAACAATTGTGTATGCAACAGGACGGAAACATTTTTTGTACTCGCAGACTTCCAGGACTCGCCTACGGCTCGTTCCTAAGTTTTGTCTACTCGTCCAAGAAAACAGTACTCGGACTATAGACTGATATCAATGAAACCTGTCCATAGTGTCCATCTCAAATTTGTTTTCCAATAATATCCGAAAGTACGGTCCTGGTAACGAAATACGGTATTTTCAGTGACCGAGTACGGTACTGACGTTTCAAGGAGTTGACAACCCTGGTGCAACGGACCTCCAGGTAACCTCTTCATCTTCCAAAGTCAAGATCCCATATCTCCAAGCCATTTTATATTGATTGTGGTATGCAATCCCCATATCCTATTAAGAAATGTTGCTATAGAACATCTAATGATTTTGAAACCGGTATAGGTCTATCAATTTTGCAAGTACAATTTGTCTGTATATTTGATATGACATATAAGTAAAATATGATAAATAAATATTTAAATTGCTATTCATTATTGAGAATCTTGACCTGATAATGTAGTTAAAATTCCTGATTCCTTTTTCTGAACCCTCACCAAATTAAACAACTGTTCACAAAGCTCACCTTATAGTAAATTTGTTGAGAAAATTCAGTATCTTCCTGAAAATACAAATAATGAAATATCACTTAAGATCTCAGATTTTGTGAAACAATATTGAATATTGCAGTACACATTTCACTTTGAGAATATGGCAGTATCTGGTTATAAGGTACGCAAGTAAATATCGATATCCACAAGATGAGTAAAAGTCAAGAATTTACGTACAATTGAAATCTGCAATCATGAAATGACGAAGATGATTTCAACTTGAATGGCATTATTATTTATGCATATAATTGCGTTGTTTGACATATGAATACTCCTCACTCCTAACCACTTCATTTTGGCCTCTTCACATTTTTTCTTGATATTTCCAACAAAGTTCTCCAAACTCGAATGACAATGAGTGACAGGCTAACAGTGAGAAAATTTGTCAACAAATAATTCAGGTTTATTCGTGATCACTTCGCGATAGAAAATAAGCGTACGCCTCCTATCGAAGTTCTTGAAAGCTTTCGAAGCGGTCACATCATCAAAACATCAAAACAAACCGCTCAGAAGTGTTCAAGTTGTTGCCGTCAGGTGGGGCAACGTGTTATTTTTTATCGCGAATGATGAATAGCTCATTTGATACATGCCTTCCCTGCAAAATATCATTACAGGGCGATTTTAACGATTTTCACGAAAGAACAGTCATGTATAACCTGTCAGACAGTCTAGATATTTAGTCGATAACCTGTCGGACAGTCTAGATATTAAGCCGATAACCCGTCAGACAGTCTAGATATGTAGCCGTCAATGTCAAAAACAACAAACAGTTTTCTCTACCTGGATTTGAACAGTTGTGAATAATCACACTCAAGAACAAGAACGGATAAATGACTCGGAATACATTTAGGACATCTGCAATATCCAAGTCATTGGGCGCAGAGTTCTGATAATGATGAAAATAAGAGTGCGTAGTCGGTCATTTTCACGTATTGAAAACTTAAGGAAAATCACTCGACCGCCTGCTATGATTTCTCTACGTCACATCGAGCGAGACATTGATTCAACATTTTTTCGCTAGATGGTAATGCTGCAATTGCTGCTGTGACGAGTAGAAATAAAATGGCAAATGACATTTTAGGTACGCGGAACATATGTAACTGTGGGATTATTTGACTCTGAATTCGGAAAATCTGCGGCAATTCAAAAACTTGATCGATGTCATAATTGTGCAATGTCGCCATCTAATAGAAGGTCAACGGGACCATTGCACTCGCTGTTCTCGAGAGGTCGAGTAAAATTTCTGAAACAAAAGCGCGTCAGTAATTACACCATATCTTACTTCTAAGCTTACTTCCATTATTGTTCGGATTCAACCGGTAACTCCGCCTGCAAAAAAATTTCCGTCACACTCACGGAGAATGTTGAAGAAACAATGAGATAAAAGTCGGTATACATTTGAGAAAACCCAATCAAACTTATTAGTATCAATCATCAATCTTCATGCAGTCTCTGTAGTCACCTTGCCAATTTCCCAGCAAATTATTTAGCTCGGAATAAATTCGATATTAGAGTGGTGTTGCCAATTTAACAAAAATTACAAGAAACTATTTCATTCAAAAAATACCATTTCAATTTACCACCTTTTTGTCGAATATACATCAAGAAACCTATGAAATGATACTCTGAGAGTTGGAACAAGAATTCAAGCAGACATAGATCGTGAAAATAAGCAGAACATCAGCTAATCAACCAATCAGTGAGCACTCACGAAAAACAGGTAAATGAAAAGTATCACCGAAAAGGAACGAAAATTCACAAGTGTGAGATTTTTCGTTACAACTGCTGTATTCTCAGAGTGAAATGTTCTGCAACATTCAATATTGTTTCACAAAATCTGAGATCTCAAGTGATATTTCTTCATTTGTATTTTCTGGAAGATACTGAATTTTCTCAACACTCATGAGGTTCGATTGAATATAGTCAATGACTGGAGACATTCAAATATTATGATGCTATCTATGCATAAGAAAAATATTTACTATAAGGTGAGCTTTGTGAATGGTTGTTTAATTAGGTGAAGGTTCAGAAGAGAAATCAGTAATGTTCTATAGCAACATTTCTTTATAGGTTCCGGGGATAGCATCACAATAAATATAAAAAACAGCTTGGAGATGGGATCTTGACTTTGGAGGAAAGAGGTTACCTGGTTATCCGTTGCACACTGGAAATAAAAGAGGAAGATGATATATTATTGTGTACCCCACAATTTCTATTATCTGTTCAGAAATCAGCAGAGTTCAAATATAAGCTCATCATCAGCTAATTTGATAGAAAAGTAAATAGTTTATTATGGTGACTGTCTATGAAATGGATTCATAATATTACCTGAATAAATGCTTTCTATACATATCATCTATTACTATCTATCTATCAATCCATCTTCAAAACTTTGTGGGGACAAATATAGTTCTATGCATATCGAAAGTTGAATGCCTACATGAAATTTTTCACCATTTCTCAACCATAATCCTTAGTCTGAAATCGAAATTCATTTATTGATAGGTACTGCCTAAGAACAGTCCCATTTGATAAAACTTATTGAACTTTCAGAAAAATTTGCTCACTGCCTCAGAAAGAATATGCTGGAGTTGAAAAATCAAAAACTCGAAAATTATCATCATTTGGATATAATACCTATGTAGAGTTGAATGGAAAATAACATGTGGAAATTACGTATGATACGCCAATCCTTTCTGAATGCAGAAAAAATAAGAAGCCCGTATGTAGGATGTAGTAGGCGGGAACTGTCTGCAGGCACCAGTGAAACACTGCATTCAGCTGTCAATGTCAATCAATCCTGTCATTTGCCTTCATAAAGGCATTCTTTGTGTCAACTGTCAAGTTTGTCACAGCAATCACAGCATGATGAAAGACGAGTGACGATTGTGCTTTTACGAAAAGTATTCAAAACAAGCAAAACTCAAAACAGAAAATCAAAATCAAGAATCGATTGAATAAAAGATTTGGATTATAAGATAAATATAAAAACAGTATCTACTTTAGTTATAATAGTCAATTTTAATATGGCTGGGATTTTTACATCATTAATTCGCAGGGTAAGTTTGTTTTTATTTTATTTTTCAAGTGGTTGTAGATTTCTGCTGGAAGAAATTTCGGGATTTTGGAATTATTACTGTGCCTTGAAACAAAGTTCAATCTGTTATCTTCTCCCGCTCATTTTCCTGAAACCTAGATTTACCCGAATTTTGGTTTGAGTAACCATAACATTATTGTCTGTTAACTTAACTGCTGAAGCTTCTGCTCTAATGACTGACCTGAGGACTGACCTAATGATAGTAGATTGGAAGCAACATTTGAGAAATATTGTATGATTGTAAGAAATTCTTGCTTTTTCCTGCCTATTTCTTACATACATTTTGCATTGCATTTTGCTTTTACATCTTCTGATAAAACCATTGAATTTAGATGAGGAACTCTTAACAATGATAGACTTGAAAAACATCTCCCACATCCCTCTGAATACAATATCTAATCACAAGTGCCACTGCCACACATCAGGTTATGAGGTTATATAAATTTTTTTATCTCTTGAGATGAATTTCAAAGTTTGTTCATATCAATCAATTATGTTTGAAAATTCATAATAATAATAATAAACCTGCTTCATTGGTTACCCAATTGGCCACCCATCGAAGTCCTTCAGCCTGTAATACATTGAAATCTATTGTATTTCATTTTTTTGATTGAATAATGAAATATAATCATATTTATGTGAATTAAAGGAAAGTGTGCAAGATTGATCAATTTCTTAATTCCTTGGCATTTCTGCAATGTTGGTGATGCATTCCACCAAGGTGTTTACTGGAAACTTGTGACTTGAGGTCTCTGTATTGTGTCTTTGGATGCAATTTATATTTACACAAAATATCATAATGATTTGCAACACATATGTTTAGAGTAATTCCAAGGTATACAACACAACTGTTATAATATTTCTGGATATTCAAGAAAATATATCTTGATCAGAAGTGTCTGTACTTAAACATTTGTCCTTATTGAAACAAGTGACAACTTCAATTACTCCATGATAATGATAGTGTGAGGAACCAAAGAATGAGATGAAATTCTTTTATAAACTACTCCAATAAGTTCACTTCTGTACAATCACTTTTAGGTATCAATATTCTGAGTCCTATTTAGGAAGAATTTTATTTATCAATAAATACTTCTGCTTCAGACTCATGGATTACCAATTTCTCTTCCATCCCAGCTTTTGCTTATCAGTCACATCTATTTTGAAGAATTCTTAATCTTGAGTGTATACTTATACTGGATGACATAGTTCTTTTTTTCTAGAATCTAAACCATTTTATGTTGACCCAGTTAACCTTTTCCTTGTCAGTGTTATGTGTAGTATTGAGTAGAGTCCCTGTATGTATTTGACACTTTTGCTGTAATAAGAGTACGGACACTATGACAAGCAGTGACAGAAGGCATAACCCTAAAAAATTTGAAATGACATGAACAATTTGGCGGGCACTGACAGTTCATGAACGGACATGACATTAAATTATTTGAAAATTCAGGTTTTCAAAAATTGAAATGTCTAATTGTGTAGTGGAGAATTGCAAAAATGGAAGCAAGTCCTTTTATTTATTCCATTTCCCCCATTCTAACCAACAAGTACATATACCCCTTGTTAAGTATATTGAGAAAAACTTTCAACAAATTGATTCACAAACTATGACCCCTTTTCGCCAGTGAGAAGAGACGCCACTTCTTTATGAAAATAAAGACAGAGAAAGATATATGGATGTACCCTTCACCGCGGCAGTAGAGGATAGAAGATCCCAAGTGCATGGAAAAGCATATCCATGTCTTTGTTCAAAAGTCATTTTGAGAATTTGGGGTTATGCCTTCCGTCACTGCTTGTCATAGTGTCTGTACTCTTATTACAACAAAACTGACAAATATATACAGGGAATTATACATACAGGGACTCTAGTATTGAGTACTATGGCAGACACCAGCTATTGGAGATCAAAGATATTTCAGATCATTGACATGATAGCCTCTAGGTTTAATTCTCACTGTAGATTATAATAGACCCCATTCACCAGTAGAGTAAAATTTTCTCATAACATTTGGCCCTTCAATCATAGGGTACATTGAATCAGCCTCTAAATATGAATGACCTTATTCCATAAATTTCTATAGTTTGCAAGTTGTCAATTCTATTCCCAGCAAACAGCATAGCTGCCAGGGTTGGAATAAGTCATGACTTTTATAAAAAAGTCAAAAAAGTCAGACTTTTTGAAATAAGTCGGACTTTTTTGAATTAATTCACTTTGAAAAGAAATCAAATTTTATTTACTTAACAAAAGAAATCTCAAATCATAACATAACATGCACTTTTTGTAAAACAATCTGAGAAACAAATGCAACTTATTAGCTTATTACCTATTCAGAATCTTCATCAGAAAAGTTAGTTTTCCGGCTTTCTCGACTCCTAGTCGGTTGCGTAGATCCGAATGTACCAACCCGAAAGATGAAAATATTCTTTCCACACCTGCGGATGAAGCTACTCCTGTCATAAGTTGTTTGATGCTATTTTCCGCTGCAGGATCTAAATCTGTTAGTGAAAATATTGACATCCACCACTCAATATCTGTCATACTTGAAATAACAGATTCTTGCATCAGGACCTCATTAAAAGGGGATAACTTTCCATGGAATCTTAACAATACCGGTAATATGTTTGGAAACTCTGCAGCTGCAGATTCCAAAGCTATTTGCTTTTCCTCTTCAGTTAAACTGATATTTTCCTTCATATTTGTTGGACTGAGCATGTGCGCGAAAATATTGACATCCACCACTCAATATCTGTCATACTTGAAATAACAGATTCTTGCATCAGGACCTCATTAAAAGGGGATAACTTTCCATGGAATCTTAACAATACCGGTAATATGTTTGGAAACTCTGCAGCTGCAGATTCCAAAGCTATTTGCTTTTCCTCTTCAGTTAAACTGATATTTTCCTTCATATTTGTTGGACTGAGCATGTGCGCAATGAAATGGTGTGTATCTGGAAATAACCTTTTTTTTCGCAGTGCTGTCTAAAACATCATTTAAATCGTTTATCAATTTTTTCCAAATAACAACAGACCTAGCGATCGTGCAATTCTCTTTTTGCATTAAATCCAGTGCTCAAGATATAGGTTTTAGTCCAGCCATCAGATCTTCAGCATTACGTTTAATGGCTATGTTAGAAACCAATTTATTTATCTCATTATCAATATTATTGCGATGTTCTTCACAAATTTTAACCAGTGTATGCCAGTTTTTCAAATATGCCTTAAGTGAATCACATGAGCTGTTCCAGCGTACCTCAATTGGCAATGGAAGTGATGATCCACCTTCAGAAGATGACAATGCTTTTGCTAAATGGTTATTTCGAAAATACTTTATGATTCTTACTATATTGTTCATAACTCCTTCAACATTCAAATCTTTGGCCAGTAGATTCAAAATATGAGCGGAACAGCCATATGTAATAACATTTACATCAACACTATCAACACTTTTTTGTTGTATTTGCATTCTCATTCTTGCCATATTGGCAGCATTATCTGTTACTACACTTCTTACAAAACATTTGAATTTTTTCTCAGTATCTTGAATAATTTTCAAAGTTAAACTTGTCAAATACTCACTGGTATGAGGACTACCAGATGTATCTGTTGTGTTAACCAAAAATACACTACCATCCTCATTTACAACACATGCACATATTATGGGTTCGTTTCTTATGTTGGACCATCCGTCAATACTCAAGCAGACTGTTTTATTTTCTAAGTAAATTTGACATTTATCTAATTCCTCCTGGTAAACTTGATCCAACAAAGTATTCCCAATTACTTTTCTATTTGGAGGCTTGTATCCAGGATGTAGCATTTCTGAATACTTTATAAATTCTGGATGTTCCACAAATTTGAAAGCCAAATTTGTAGCGAATATGAATCTGGCACACTGCGTATCAAATCTATCTTTATCATTTGCTGTAGTTTTTATTACGAAGGAGTTCAATGTTTTTCGTTGTGATTTTTGGATTGCAGCTTCATTAAATATTTTGCGAATTTTTGAAGTCTGTGGTTCTGCAAAAAAAAAATGTAAATGAATACATTAGAATCAATAGGAAAATTGGAACTATCTTCCAACACTTCCACTTTAGATTTCAAATTAATTAAATATATTTATCTGTTTTTAAAAGCTCACCTTCTCTAGTAGATCCATCTTGTGAAGAATTTGTAATTTTTCTTTTTATGGTAGCTAACGGCATTTCCTCCTCTAAGTCAGATCCACTGATATCCTGTATAGTTGTATCTGTCTTTTCAGGATCAATTTTACATTTACTTTTATGTTTTTGCATGCGACTAACCATAGCTTGCAACTTATTACCGCATGCTTTGCACACTGCTTTTTTGTTGGTTGGATTTTGTTGGTTGCACTCGTCAAAATAATTCCAAATAGGATCCCTTTTTCGTCCACTCATTTTTCACACGTTAATAAAAATATACTTTAACAGAATGTAAAGTATTAAAATAATAAAAGTTTAGAAGTCTCAAGCACAATCAGTCCCAAAAATAGCCAAATTTCACGATAAGACTATCTACCTACTCTTACTCTACATTCTACATCGTGATATTAATGCCAATGTAATGTTCTAATGTTATGCCGTTTTTCTGGGTTTCCCTCTTTGATTTCGGTTTTTCGGTTATTCCCCGACGCGCGGACGCGGTGCATTGTATTGTTTTGTGGGCACTCCACGGTTGCTGGATGGCTAGGTTGCCTTAATATTATCGGATTTTTCAGTTAAAACTAGTTTGAATCAATGTTGATAATGCGATTTGTGATTTTGAATTAATTCATGACTTTTTCAAAAAAGTCATGTGATTTAATTCATGAATTAAATCACTGAATTAATTCATATGAATTAATTCGTGCCAACCCTGATAGCTGCAGCAACAAATTTGTTTCGATTTTGTCCCGTGCAGGTGTCAGAGAATGATGCTACATGGGTTACTGTTTTGGGC